CTTTATTTAGCTTACTTTATTCTTGGAACGACTAATTGTTTCACAAGAAAATTTACTGTTTTTGTTTTCTTTTGGCATCTTTAAATTCTTAAAAATTAAAGATGTCAAAAATCTTTTTTATTATAAGTTAATAACAGCACATTATAGATATCTTTACAAGCCTACGTTAGATACCTTTGCAAATCTAAGATTCTTGTGCTCAAATGGCAATAGTTCCCTTCCCATTACTCTGAAAGATCTCTGCCAATAAAGTTGTATGAAGTCCGCTGGGTTCTTTTTTTTTTTTTTAATTAATTAATTTATTTATTTATTTTTTAATCACAACCATAGTGTATCTTTTTTTTTTACATGTATTCCCCATCCCGGTCCCCCCTCCCACCTCCCTCTCCACCCAATCCCTCTGGGTCTTCCCAGTGCACCAGGCCCGAGCACTTGTCTCATGCACCCAACCTGGGCTGGTGAACTGTTTCACCCTAGATAATATACGTGTTTCAGTGCTGTTCTCTTGAAACATCCCACCCTCGCCTTCTCCCAGAGTCCACAAGTCTGTTCTATACATAGGAGTCTCTTTTTCTGTTTTGCACATAGGGTTATCGTTACCATCTTTCTAAATTCCATATATATGTGTTAGTATACTGTAATGGTCTTTATCTTTCTGGCTTACTTCGCTCTGTATAATGGGCTCCAGTTTCATCCATCTCATTAGAACTGATTCAAATGAATTCTTTTTAATGGCTGAGTAATATTCCATGGTGTATATGTACCACAGCTTCCTCATCCATTCGTCTGCTGATGGGCATCTAGGTTGCTTCCATGTCCTGGCTATTATAAACAGTGCTGCGATGAACATTGGGGTACACGTGTCTCTTTCGGATCTGGTTTCCTCGGTGTGTATGCCCAGAAGTGGGATTGCTGGGTCATATGGCAGTTCTATTTCCAGCTTTTTAAGAAATCTCCACACTGTTTTCCATATTGGCTGTACTAATTTGCATTCCCACCAACAGTGTAAGAGGGTTCCCTTTTCTCCACACCCTCTCCCCGCTGGGTTCTTTTATAGCATCTTTTCTTCACTTCTGGTTCCACCAAATCTTCATTTATCACTTTGTCTACAGTAAGAATCCATTGAGACTAGGAAGCCCCTTTCCTGAGCCGTGCTTCTCATATTTAAATAAATATGGATCATGTGGGGATGTTGTTAAACCTCAGATTCTGATTCAGTAGGTCTGGGTGGGGCCTGCGATTCCGACTTGGCTAGGAGCTCCCAGGGGTTGCTACTGCTGCTGGCCCAGGGAAGTCCTGCCACAGGGTGCTACTTAAGCAGCTTTGGTGCTAGCTCCAAACGTCTCACCACCACGACTTTCTCCACGCTTAGCTATCATCTTCTCAAGTCAACTCTCAACCAATTGCTGAATTAAGATTAAGCCAATAGTCCCCCCGGCTTCTCTGTTGGCTCAGTGGTAAAGAATCTGCCTACAATGCAGGGGACCCTGGTTTGATCCTAGGGTCGGGAGAAGCCCATGAAGAAGGGAATGGGCACCCACTCCAGTATTCTTGCTTGAAGAATTCCATGGACAGAGGAGCCTGGTGGGCTACAGTCCATGGGGTCACAAAGAGTTGGACACAACTGAGCGACTAACACACAATAGCCTCCAATATTGATGTTGGTTCTCTGTACTTAAAAATTTTGTTTTTTTCATTTTGCCAATCAGCTTTCCTTGTTTCTGACCACTATTACTTAAACTGACACAACTTATCACATGCTTCAACTCAGGTCCTTAATCAAAAAAACAACTCATGTGTCACAGTTGTCATTTTCTACTTTCATTATTTTTTCATTTACTTTTGTTTCCTTATAATTATTTCTTTTTAGCACTTTAAAAACTTCTGTTTTGAGGTTTATCAGATGTGATGGGATTAAGAATGTCCATAAAACATGTCAAAATGAAGGACCAACATGCTATAGACTAACAATGCAGTGGTCAAGACAAAAATGACTGGGCACAGATAAAGCTATTTTCTAGTGACAGGCAGACTCTTTTTGATCTGATTTGGTGCCTTACTGAAATCTGTAAAACTCAGTAAATTGAAAGCTTATGAGCAAAGGAGTTTATTTAAATTGAATAAAATGAAAACTATTTATTGTTCCTCAGTACCTGTGGTTTCCACATCTACTAGATACTGAGGAATCTGTCTCTATAGACCGGATCATTCAATCACTTACTCTGTACCAGGTATTATTTCCGGGTGGTGGAGACTCAGTAAATAGCACCCCTCTCTATTACTTGTCTCAACTAAGAAAGAAGAAAGTCAGCATAAAGCACCCATCACTTTCATTTCTGGCAAGGCTGATGAAGCACATGACTCATGCTCATGGACAAGCAGAACTCCTATTACAGAACCTCAGGGTAAGACTTGTCCACCCAGTCACAGAAAGTACAGGTCACCATAGTCTCCTCACCTGGCAGCCTGTCCTTATGGAGAAGAATGGCTGTTCTTTACTGAATGTTTGCACCCAAGAAAAAGAAGAGAAGATTGGGCCAGGACCCTAATTCCCTAAACCACTAATCAGAACAGTCACCTCGGCTCTGCCAGGAAAGGCCTATCCTCACACAGCCCCTCTCATTTGCCTCATTCAATCTCAGCCCCTAGTAGATCCTGTCTTTAAAATGTTGATATTTTGTTCATCACAATATTTTTTTGTTAATTTAAAACTTTTTGAATATTGCATTAAAATATTATTTATCTTGATTTATTAAGGTTTTTAGTTCCCCCTTAAGTTTTACACCTGCCTTACCCACCTCACCCTAGTCTCAGACCCTGTTTTAAAATACATGTGTGAGCAAATGAACAACTTCTTCCTTTTTAAATATCTATCTATTTTTGGCTGTGCTGGGTCTTCATTGCTGGGCGAGTGGGAGCTGTCTCTAGTTGTGGCGAGCAAGGGCTACTTTCTAGTGGTGGTGCATGGACTTTCCATTGCAGTGGCTCCTTGTGGAGCACAGGATCTAGGCTCGAGGGCTTCGTAGTTGTGGCACACAGGCTCGGTTTCCCAGCAGCACGTGGGATGTTCCGGGACCAGGGCTTGAACTAGTGTCGCTTACATTGCAAGGCAGATTCTTAACCACTGGGCCACCAGGAAAGCCCCAGATAACTTTTTCTTAATTAAGCAATCACTAAATAAACTGTCAGAGAATGTCATGTACTAAGTTGAGAAACAGAAGTGTGGGAAGTGACTGGGCCAGTAACTGGAATGATCAGAAAAGATCTACGTTAGAGGATGATATTTAAGCTGAGCTCAAATGCCACAAAGGAGCCAGTGGTGGGATAATTTGGAGAAAAGCTTGTGAAAAGGCCTAGGAAATGAACCCGGGATTTTCAGGGAACACACAACACGCCAAAGGTTGCTGCTGCTAAGTCGCATCAGTCGTGTCCGACTCTGTGCGACCCCATAGATGGCAGCCCACCAGGCTCCTCTGTCCCTGGGATTCTCCAGGCAAGAACACTGGAGTGGGCTGCCATTTCCTTCTCCAGCACCAAAGGTTAGTATGGCTTAACTGTCAAGGAATGATAGTGAGTAGTACTCACTTTAGGTAGAAGGTCAGGAAGGGCTCAAACTTTGAGACTTGTAAGCCCAGTGAGGAGTTCGACTTTTCCCCAAGAGCACAGAAGGATTTAAAGCAGGAAAGCGACGTGATCTGATTGCTCTTTTTAAATAATTCTCTTTGGCTGTTGTGTCAAGGATGCGTTATGGGGGTGTGCGTGGTGAAAGAGGAGAATCAGATCCATCAGTATCCTGGTGAAAGACGGTGGTGTCTTGGACCAGGGTGATTTTAGTGAAGATGGAGAAAGAGGAGCACGTTCTAGCAATGCTTTAGAAGTAGAGTTGATTGGACTTGATGAATTAATACTCAGCCCCTGGGGAAAAGAATAACTGGGTAATTTCGGGTGGCTTAACTTGAGCAACCAGGTGGATGGTGGTGCCGTTTAATGAAATGGAAGAGGCTGGGATTAGGTTCGAAAGTGAGCTTGCAATCACATTTTCAATTTTTGGTGTTTTGGGTTTGGAGATGCCTGTTGGATACAGGTGGAGTTAATAATCGGTGTAAACTGAAGGAGAGGGAGGGAGGACCGGGCTGAAGATGGAGATCTCGGGCGTCACCCGTGCCTTGATAGAATTTACCCCGTTGTAATGGATAGAAAAACCCAGGCAGAGAGCATACAAGGAGAAGGGCGGGAGGCTGGAAATGCAGCCTCTGGAGAAGCAGTTAAAACAGGAGGAGGAGGAGGAATGGACCGAGAGCGTGCAAGTATGGAGTCTTAAGACTGGGATAAAGAATGGCATGAGAACCAGCTAGAGGTCGAGGAAAAAAATCAGAGAAGTAACAAATGGAAGCCACTGGTGATTCGACAAAGGCCTCCACCTTCGGTGCTAAGGCCAGAAAGCCTGCTGGAACAGGCTGAGGAGAAGAATGGAAAGTCAGGATGTCCGAACAGTCGCCACTTTCTCATCGAAGAAACCGAAGCTAAGTGGTTAACTGTCATCATGCAAGGTCAGAGCCAGCGGGCTCAGATCCTGGAACCAGAGCCCAGGAGAGTGTCCGCGACAGGTCCACTCACTCAAGGAAGAGCTGAATGTAAAGCATTCATTGACGCGGCCGCTTCTTTAAAGAGGAAAGGCAGCCGGCCCGGCTTGGGCGAGAACAGGGTATCAGAGCGGCAGGCTGTCTCCGCGGGCGGGGAAGGACCGCCCCCTTTTCCCGCAACCCGAGCCGGCGCGCCCTACTGCGGCTGCGCAGGCCGGCGCGGGGCGGGGCAGGGCGGGAACGCGGAAGGGGCCGCGCCGCGGGGACGAGCAAGGGCGGGGCGGGGACGCGGAAGGGCCGCGCCGCGGGGACGAGCAAAGGTGGGGGGGCGGGGCTGGCCGCGGGGCGCGGGGCGTGAGGTGACAGGTGCGGGGGGGCGGCGGCGGCGGCGGCCTGAGCAGCGGAGACGCGGCGGCGATGCTGGAGACCCTGCGCGAGCGGCTGTTGAGCGTGCAGCAGGATTTCACCTCCGGGTGGGTACACGGTTGGGGACGAAAAGGGGCCAGCACGGCCGGGCCGGGGAGCCGGGACGCCGCCTCCGTGCACCCGGGGTCTCATCTGGCGCCCGCCACTCCCCTCACCCAACCCCGGGCCTCCCATCCGCGCCCGGGCGGGGACAGTAGCCAACTTCCCGGCGTCGGCCCGGCCGCACGAAGTAACTTAAGTCCCGCCGGGCAGGCTCAGACCCGCGCGCCGGGGCCGGGAGCGGGTCCGGAAGGCTGCGGGCGGCCGGGGGTCGGGTGACCTTTCCCCGGCAGATCCGGCCGGCCCGAGAGGGGTCGGGTGAGAGGCGAGCGCGCCCCACCCCCGCGGCCCCACGAGGGACGGTGCCCCGGCGCCCCCTCCCACGCCGCCAAGACCCCTGCCGGCTCGGGCCGTCGCCCCCTCCAGACCGCCGGGGCCCGCCCGGTGTCCTGCTCGCCTCCGCGCGCGGAGGCTGAGCGCCTCTTCTTCCCCTTTTACTTTCTCTCTCTACGTTGGGTTCAGCGCCTCAGTGAAGAAACTCTCGGGCCACAGAAACGCCACAACTGGCGATCCTGTTCATGCCCTAGTGGTGACGCGCACGCGGACCTAGCGGTTCCCGAACTTTGCTTGGAATCTCCTGGCAACCATCCTGGTGCGTGCCGGGTCGCAAAGGATACCAGCTACACCAGGCTGAGGATGGGGATTCGAAAGGAAACCACCCCCACCCCCCCTCCCCGCTCCCAGGTGATTCCAGTTTGGCACAGACTCTAACGCCAGGGGCCCTGGGATCTTATCTTTACCACTTAAGCAACGCGTTTCTGCAAGTTTCTCTGCCTCTGCGACTGTTACAACAACGGGGATGATGAAGATGGTTCTCATCTCACAGGGTTATATGTGAGGATGAATGAACTAACGTGTAAAACAGCAGACTCACGTTGTGTCACTGTTATTATTCAGTGCTTAATTCATTTTAATTTTTCCATTTCTTCCAAAAGGGTGTCACTTTGATAAAGGATGTGTCTGTCACCTTTAGATTACGGATCCGTTGGCGAAAGCTCTGCCTATGAGTGCCTCTCCATCATGTTTTACGTTTCTGATGAGAAAGATGTTAGCTACAACTGTATCTTAGTGGACAAAAGTGTTTATATTATTTGCCTCTTAGGTGCTGAGTAGTAACAGGCAGATACTTGAGCATTTCCACGTAGAGCATTTTTGGTAGTCTTGGTTTGATGTCCCTATGAATGTTAATTGTAGATGTCCTAGGAGTCATTGATTGACGCTGTGCTTGATAGCTTGCATTCCCCGCCCCGCCCCCTTTAAATTTAAAAACTTATTTTCAGAATGTAAATTATTGAAACGTTGGGGTAAGATGCTGCAATGGTAGCATGAGAAAAGTAGGTCGCAGATAAGCCCATCTGGTACAGCCCTCCTGTCGTTACCTCAAGAAATTCCTTGATGGAGTAACAGTCTATCTTCTGGGAGTTACAACTACTGAAACTTTACAGGTCGGGTGGTTGCCTCCGAACCCATTCATTCTTTGAACTTTGCTCAAGCAGGTTCAACTCACCTAGGAATATGGATTCTCCCAGACCATCCTGGGAGATCTGGAAAACCTGAGTTGAGGGTTGAGTAACGGAGAAGGGTGGAGGGGATCTGGTTAGAATGCCTTCTCGAAAACGGAATTTACCTGAAGCATGCCAGAAACTGGGGCCAGTTTGGGATTGGACGTCCTGAGAGGGCTTCCATTCCGTGAATGCCCTTCATGGGTTTCTTTGTACAGGTCACTCTGAGCGGACAAGCCACTGGACCGGCCGTGTGTGCCATTAGCCTGTCACCTGGTAGAGAAATCACTCCTCCGCAAGGTGAAATTAAACACAGCTGTACGTGTATATTACATGAAGGCACTGGGGGATTCAGAGCTGAAAGCAACATGGCCCTTGCCTCTCAAAACCACCAGACTGGACCTGGCATTCCTTTAGAACACTTCCTGTTGGTGCCCATAGAAGCCAGAGCAGCTGGCTTACAAAATAACTGGGAACGTCTACCCTTGGGGTTACCTCGGAACTCAGTAGGGGAAAGGTTGGGTGCCTTCCTGAGCTCTTTCACTGTGGAGCTTCACAGTAGCTCAGAGCAACAGCCTGTCTTCAGAGACTTCTGCTCATTTTCAGTTTCTGGAAATTCATATAACTGGAGCTGAAATGTAGGCAGTTTACTGTTTTTTAAGTATAATAGGAATATTCTTTATCAGGCTCACAAGAGAATGCCACATTAGTGGTTAAAGCATGTGTGAACACTGAATTTCAACCTTCCATTCTAACTTAGAGAAAAGTCAGCTTCAAAGGACTGTAGGTTGTCCATGGACTCATGATCTTTTTACATCAAGTTTCAGTCATCATAATAGTTGTGTCAAAATCAAGGTAAGCCTCAAAATTACGTTGCTTTCTTTCTGGGCTAACTGGGCGGTTATCTGGTGCAGGGGCTGAGGGACAGAGGGGACTGGCTCCCAGCTTCACTCTTTGCTCCTCACCTACGTGCGTCCTCACCTGGGTTTATGTCCCCCAGAGCTCTGGGCGCCTTTTGGAGAGTTCACAGAGAACCTCTGCTCTTTAAGGACTGGCTTGAGCTTTGAGGGGAACTTTTGGACACACTGAGGCACTTTCTTCAAATCCACTCTGGTCTTTGATTTTTTTTTTTTTAAACCTTCAGAGCAACTATGACCCACGGCCTCAGGATTGATGTATTCAGGCGTGCAAACCCCTTCAGGAAACTGACAATCAGATTTACCAAGGGTTTACAGCTGCCTGGCCCTGGCTGGCATTTCCTGTCGGTAATGCTCTGGGTGCTCTTGGATAGGGAGGGATAGAAGTTCACAGTGGTTACTTGTTGCAGCTAGACAGTGGGTGTTCCCTTCTCAGGGGTCAGAGCCGCCTCTGCCACTGTGCTCACTTCTCTTCTCCCCTCTCGGAGTATCGTAACCTCAAAGGAGAGCATCTAAGAGTCCAGTTCACAGTTCACATTGAGGCTTTGCCTCAAATGCTGGCTCTTCCTTGATTACTTACCTTTTAATATAAACAGGGGAAAAAAACCTTAATATTCAACTTGACATGTTACTGAGTTCCTACCAAGTGTCAGACACCAGTCTAGGAAGTTTTCATAGAAGTTACCATAGAAGATTTTTTCATTTTATTTAAAAAAAAAAAAGATATGAGGCTACACGCCCAGTTTTGCCTGCTCTTTACTAGTGTCTGTGTGTGGGGCCAGATCCTGGGGCTACAAGCTTGACAAAAACAGTGTCTTCCCTCCAAATGCCCTAGCCTGGCGGTAGCATAAAGCAAAGCAGAAGGAAGTGAACGTGGAAGATACAGGTGATGTGGATTGTGAGCTCAGAGGAGTCATGAGATAAGATGCTTCAAAGAAGAGCTGACTTCTAGACTGGCCTAGAAGAATGAGAAGAGACGAGGCTAGATTTGGCTGACGGATTTCAGAGACAAAACTCTTGTGGGAGAAGAACCTGGAAAGGAAGTTTATAGTGTCTGATAATAGAGGGTTGTCAGTGCTTTGCAAATTAATTCATTTAGAAAATATTTATTGAGCATTTATCTATTGATGGGGCTTCCCTAGTAGCTCACATGCTACTGCAATCAGCCTGCAATGCAGGAGACCCAGGTTCAATCCCTGAGCTGGGAAGATCTGTTGTGGAAGGGAATGGCTACCCCCTCCAGCATTCTTGCCTGGAGAATTCCATGGACAGAGGAACCTGGTGGGCTGGAGTCCATGGGGGCGCAGAGTCAGATGCAACTGAGCGACTAACACTTAACACCTGTTGACAGGTACTAGGGTTGCAGCAGAGAATGCACACCAGACAGCAAATAATGGCCCTGCCCTCACTCAGCTGGCAGGCAGCGGAATATCTAGAAGGTCAGAAGTACTGTCACTAAAAACAAAGCAGTTTCAGGGGTTGGGTGGGGGTGGGAGGCTTGCTGTCTTACATAGGATGGCCTTGGCTTATTTTTAGGTTGACTAATCTTCCGAAGGTTTTTGGGAAGGGTAGCAGCCTGAGCCTGCCTGTATTTTGGAAGAATAATTTGAGAGGCAGGGTGACGGGAGGACTAGAGAAGGGGAGCAGGGAGATTATTTAGGAGGCTGTAATTATGGAGCAGATGAGAGATGATGAAAAGGCAGTGCTGGTGGAAATTTGACGGAATAATGACAGGCACTGGTTGATTTCATAAAAAAGGAGACTAGCAAGTGAAAAAGGTGGAGAAATTGAGGATGTTAATTTTGGAGTATCTTAGATAGTGATGTTATTTACCAACAGAGAAGTTGAGCAGTTTTGAGAGAGAAGGAGCTGCTGCTAAGGCACTTCAGTTGTGTCTGACTCTGTGCAACCCCATAGACGGCAGCCCACCAGGCTCCACCGTCCCTGGGATTCTCCAGGCAAGAACTCTGGAGTGGGTTGACATTTCCTTCTCCAATGCATGAAAGTGAAGTCGCTCAGTCGTGTCCGACTCTTCACGACCCCATGGACTGCAGCCTACCAGGCTCCTCCGTCCATGGGATTTTCCAGGCAAGAGTACTGGAGTGGGGTGCCATTGCCTTCTCCAGAGAGAGAAGGAGCAGTTGACAGTAAATGTGTCGCGAAGTCCAAGAAGCAGTGGGAAATTCAGGAAACACAGAGGAAAGAGGTCAGGACCGACTGGGTGCATTCGGAAGTGATTAGGATAGAGACTCTCCAGTTCCTGAGTCTGTGACTTTTGTGTGAGTCTCTCAGCTGTCAGAGCTTTGGGGTCTGTGCACTTTTAGGTGTGATTGATACTTTTGTGTTTCCTGATTTTGACTTTAAAGAAGAAAAAAAAAGTTAGTGGGAAAATAGATTGGATTTGTATTCATAAACAATTTAAAGTCAGAATAACAGAGGTGTGAAAACATTATAGGGCAAAATATGCTAATTAATACATTCTGTGGTGTTTTAATGCAGCCACCCTGGCCTTTCATAATAGCTGATGGG